AATGTCTTCCCATAACCCTCCCTGGAAAACAGGCTGGGCACAAATATATTTTGAGTCTAAAAGATCAGTCCTGTGATGTTTAAACTGAGCTGAACGGGCCGTGAAGTGCTTAAAGGCAGCGATTTTATTGTCTCCGTCACCTCCGAGATGAGTGGCCAGGGGCCAAAGCTTTCCAAGCAGCTTCCCGATTTTCCCTCCTGGGTAGGTGATCCAGATCCACATATGGCTCTGTGCTTGAAAGGCAAGAAGACACTTGCTGCCCTCCTGCAGCCACCTCCACCTTCACGTGGCGCTTGGTCACCGAGGGAGCCAGCAGCTCTGAGCAGGGCTTGCAGCCACGTGGGGCTCGTACACTGAAAAGAGGAAGATAAAGCTGATAGCAGGATATATTTAATTAAAAAAGAACCTGATGGTTAACCGACCATTGGCCTTCTCTTCCCTTGTGGTCCTCCTTGTCCTCCCGCGGCTGACACATCTCCAGTTGTCCTGGGGCTGCCCAGGCCACGTGCTGGGGACAGCCGGACCTTCCCTCACCACAGGACTAAGCTTTAATTTTGCTGTGTTGCGTTAAGGCCACGTGTGGTGCGTGGATAGAGTGGGGGCAGCTTAGAGGGTGTTTGCTGAATTTCGATAGCTGCCCTGCCTTCCACGCCGGTCGGGGAGTTTGCTCATTTCAAATACATATACATATATATATATATATATATACACACATGCACAACTACAAATATATATACTCCAATAGCATTATCTGGACAGGATGGTAACCAGCAGCACCATGGAGCTCTTCCTCACCTTTTCCAGGAGGAAGCCTGGGAAAGGGCCATGGTTTGGACTGTTTGCTACCTCCTCGCCAAGGCTGGAGCGTGGAGGAGCTAATTAGAGGCATCTCAGGCTGTTTCAATTTAACACCATGTAAAAAGTGTGCACCATCTAGAAAGCAGAACATCTGGGAAACCAGCTAATGAGAGCCAGATTGGGGGAGCTCTGAGGCAAATGCAGAAGCTACCCTGTAGGGTTTGTTTATAATTCCATGTGTTTGCGTTGGTTGCTAATTTGTTGGGTTTGTGGTATTTTGTCTGTTTGTTTTTGAATTGAAACAAAGGCAGGCACCAAAGATCAGAAAAATGAAACAGCGTCCATGCTCAAATTTACTACAGTTGGGCATAAAATAGCCTGGCTGGGGAAGGCATTTTTTTTCCTGGTTCCCAGGGCTTTTTTCCTGTTCCTTTTCCCTTCCTGGCTTCATTCTCCAGGTCTGCAGTGGCCGGGGAGCAGCCCACATCCTGTCCGGACACGCGGAGGCTCTTTGCTCTAAGCTAGCTGGGACGCTTGCCTTCATTCAAGCAGGGAACTTGTTTTGCAAAGGGAGATGTTTGGGCTCTGGAGAGTTTATGCTCCTTTTTCCCTTTTTCTTTTTCTTTTTTTTTTTTTTGGTTGTTGTTTTTTATTGTAATGATGACATATGGAAACTATTTACACGGGAGTACGCTCTGCTGCACTGAATGGAAATGTTGGAGTCCCGGCAGTATCATTCCGGATGCCTTGTGTAAGCAGCCAGCTGGTTTTGCTTTCCCTTTTTATACATATATATATATTTTTTTCCCCGTCTCTGTCTTTTCAGGGACCGTCTGGGATCAGTTACCCAAGTGTGGAAGGAAACTTCGCCATCTGCGAGCAGCTCGACTCGCTTAACTTTGTCACGCCCTTTGTACCATGAACTTCACAAATATCTATTTTATTTATTTATTTTTTTGTCCAGAGGGGTGGAGGAGACTCCTTGCCATGACTGGTCAGCACTTTGACTCCTCTCCCTGTTCGCTGAGGGGAGCGAATTCTGCGTAAGGCCAAACAAGAGAGCGGGGCAAAGGAGCCGCTTAGATTTACAACCGCGCTCATTCCTCGGGGCTCCTTGTCAGCAACTAAACCTTCAACTAACTTCAACTTAGAAATATCCCGCCTTTAAGAGAGCAATAGGGAAGCAGTTTAAGCCTGAGCCACCTTCCTCAGAGCGGAGTTAACGCAGTTAGTTCTGCCGCGAGCGGAGCCAACCCCTCACGCGCGGTTCTGCCTCGCAGCATCGGCTCGCAGAGCGCCGGGAGGCGCCCGCAGCCCTTTCCTCGGGATTCGCCGCGTGTCCGTGCCCGCTTCCCGAGGCCCGCGCTGCCATGCGGGGGAGAGAGCTGCCTGCCATCTACGTGGAGGACGGCGGGAGCCCCGTGGAGAGATCCTCCTATCTCATTGAGCTAGATACTAATGGTAACTGCCGCCGGGAAGCGCCGCGGCGCGCGCGGAGCTCGCATTAGTCTGTGTCATCGTTATCAGGGGAGCAGCTGAGGAAATTAGCTAGCTGGAGGGCTGCCAAGCAAACAGCAAGATGCTTTTCAAATTTGTTATTATTTTTATTATTATTTATTACCCAGATGATGCTGTTGCCTCGGGGTTGCTCGATCAACCTTCTGGTACCTGATAGGGAAGGAGATGATCTGCTGAATGCAGTGCTGCGAGGAAACGCTTCGCCCGTGCCTTCTGCGTTCTGCCGGTGCCCAGGAAGGTGATGCCAGGCTTAGGCAGCAGGAAAACTCATTGGTTTCTGGAGTTAACCTTTGTCTTTAACTTGCATCTTGGAGAACTATTTTGTATTTGCGTGCTTGATGTCCCTGGGACATCTCTGCTGTGTGGAGCAGTGAGTCTCTTGTGTAGGGAGAGCAGAGAGATGGCTAGAGATGACTTTTTAATAATAAACCATAGTTTTTCTTTTCTAATGTAGATTGGGTGGTTTTCAAAGTTGAGTTTGTCTTTGTAAAATAATTACTTCAAAGTTAAAGGAAGTTTTGGCTTTTCTTTTTTGGTGGGACAAAGTGGATTTTGTTTAAGGCTGCAGAATACATTCTGCAGCTCTTCTGTTGTGTAGATGTTATAAAGGTCCAATCTCATAGCAATATTTTAAATAACCTAGTTAACGTGTCCCTCTTCCCCCAAAGAGCTGGCGTATCCATCTTCTGGGTGCTAAGACTGGCGAGTTCAGGTGAAGATGCATGTGTCCCTCCTGCAGCTCCATCAGACATTAAGTGCAAAAAGGTTTCTGCTCTCAGGCTGCACTTTGAGAGTTTGGCACTTTGAAACTTATGCAGTAAAAGTTTCATAAATAATAACTTTAAAAAAATCCCAATGCTCACAATGGAAAGCTTCTGATTTTTGCACATTACAGACCCAAAGGACCATCCTTCCAGTTGTGAGGATAAGTGCAAAGCTCCCACATGCAGTTTTCCCGAGAGCTGTGCCCATGTAGGGGTTAAATGGGAAAGGGGGAAGGAACTGGCCCCATCCAGACATGCAGCCAGGTTTTGAGCAGCGCTGCGGAAGGCAAAGGGAGAAACAGGCTCACGCTGCAGCACGCTCAGCATTGAGCTGTGCGATCTGGGAAGTCTTTGCAATTCTCACATGCTAAGTATTATCTTGCTTTGCTGAGGGAAAAAGCAGCTGTGGCTCGGCACTGGCCAAGGGATTTTTGATCCCTTCCCATGGCTCCTTGTCAATAACATCTCTTTTGATCAGCACAGGATTTGTGGTGTGGATTCCCTCCCCGCTTCTGGAGCTAGGCTGGGAAAACTGAATCAGTCCTTCGGAGAGGATTATTTAGTCAGAGCCAACTGCCTCAGCAAAGCTGCCACATGCTACCAGGGAGCAGAAAAGAGCCTCGCTGTAATTTTTCCCACCTTCAGCCACCTTCTCACAAGGCAGGCAAAGCAAACTGCTGCACTGCAGCTTCTGTGCCCATAAGGAGGGGGAAATCAGCACTTCAAGGTTGGCAAAAATTTTTACATGTAGCCTTTCTGAGAACCCTGTGGTTTTGGCACGGATTGAAGCTCCAGAGGAGCAGCGAGTGCTTGGCCAGTGGCACCTCAGGGTTCACGTGTGGCCCCGAGCAGGCCTCGCTGCTCTGAAGCGCTTAGGAGTCATCCCATAGGCTGTGTTGTACTAATAAGTGCTGTGAGGTCTCTCTTTACTATTATTTTCATCATCATAGATGCGTAATAAAAGTTGCCATTCCAGAAGAATCCCTGTATTTCTTCTTGAACAATAATATTTTTCACAAGTTCCATGTGTCTTTTATTGCATTGAAGCTGTAGAATAAAAAACCTAGCGAGTCTTTTGGTGTTTACGTACTTGTTCTACATACCCTTCCTGTGGGAAGGGCAAGATGCATGTGCAGCTATGCTTGGGAGAGTATTTTTCTTTTTTTTTTTTTTTCCTGCGGTGCAAACTGGACACTCTTTTAAATTAGATTTTTAGATACAAGATATTGTACATATGTCCAATGAAGCATTGTTCGATAGTGCTTTACAGAAAGAAAAAAAAAGACATGCTCTTAAAAGTTTAAAAACTAAACTGTGGGATTTGGCAGATAACTAATGTTGCTGTTTGTTTTCATCAGTGGGATGTTAGTAGTTACTCCCGCCAAAAAAAGTGTTGCCAAGATGCGTTGTTGGCTCTGGGGAGAGCTCTGAGAAATCAGGCTATGTACAGAAAATACTACAATTCTGCTAATAATACTAGAATGCACAGCTTCTGTGCTGATGGCAGTTCTTTTTACCTGTTGGTTGGATTCCACACTCTGTTCTTCCATGCTGTCCTTTGCCATTCGATGCCAAAAGGCGGTGGTTTTTGTGGCCAGCTCACTTGTGGTTTGGATGCCCTTGGAGCTGCTCAGCTGCCCTCTGTGAACACGGCAGCCCGGAGCTCCCGAGGCAGGAGATCCGCTTGTTCTCCCAAACAGGATTCTGCCTCTTCTGATGATGCTCTGGGAATGTTCTTCTGTCCAAGTGCTCAGTTCGAGAGTGTCTTAAAAGCTTCTACGTGCGAAGAGCCCAGTCAGTGTGTGTACAAGCTGTGGGTTTCTGGGGTGCTCTGCTGCTCCTTGATGTGATGGCTCCCACTGTGTGGCTCGGCAGTTTGCTTAGTTGTAAGCCGGATTTTCCCTTCTTGTATTGGTGCAGATGGAGGGAGCTACGACGCCGTTCACGATGCATCCAGCCCTGCTGCGGGCGACTGCTGTGCGCAGCAAAGCTCTGCCCAGCACAACTGGGAGATGAACTACCAAGAGGCAGCAATCTACCTCCAGGTGAGCCCTGCGCTGCAGCACCCACTGTAAGAATGGGCATTTTATCCCATTTCACCTCCTCGATTGCTCTGGAGTGGATGATCAGGACTCTTGGGGAGGCATGTTAGGCTCAAGAAGTGCAGGTCTTAATCCTGTCTTGGTCTCAGATTTGGTTAGTGGCCCTCAGATGATCATTTAGCTTCAGTCATGCAAAAAGTTTAAGTGAGGTTGGAGCTCCTGATTGCTGGGGGGAGGGTGCAGGCTGTGATGAGGCCTGGTCAAGTCAGAAGTGGAATGTAGCCGCCTTCTCTTTAAAAACAAACTAAACCAACAAACCCACCCCCCAGAAAACAACCCTTACATATATACCTCAGGAAAGTTCTATAATATCTTTGCCAAAATTGTTGTATAGCTCCTGCAGGTGCAATGAATTGGCTGCCAAATCTGGGTTTCTCCCAGAACTGGTTTTCTGCAGTTGTTGCTGATTCCCTGGCTGTCCCTTCTTCCTCCTCCTCTTTATTCCCTCTCAAAGACTGCACTGCGGCACGAGGTGGACTGTACCCAGGCAGGGTTGTAGCCTAAGCTACTGCAAGGTGTTTGAAACGGTCCTTCCCTCCCTTCCCCTGCCCCACAGGACCTAAAGTATCACTCCTCAGACCCTTAAAATGCTTAGATTGGACCTTGGTAATAATATGACATCCTCTTTTATGAGGAAAGACTAAGTGAGCTGGGCCTGTTTCTTCCGGAGAAGAGAAGGCTGAGAGGGGATTTGATCAACATGTTCAAGTACCTGAGGGGTGATTGTAGGGAGGAGGGGGCCAGGCTCTCCTCTGTGGTGGCTGATGACAGGACGAGGGGTAACGGGTGTAAGTTGAAACCTAGGAAGTTCCATCTCCATATGAGGAAGAACTTTACTGTGAGGGTGCCAGAGCCCTGGAACAGGCTGCCCAGAGAGGCTGTGGAGTCTCCTTCTCTGGAGATCTTCAAACCCGCCTGGATGCCGCCCTGTGCCCCGTGCTCTGGGTGTCCCTGCTGGAGCAGGGGCTTGGACTAGATGATCTCTAGAGGACCCTGGCAACCTCAACCATTCTGTGAACATCAGCTCTCAGCTGTGTGTAGCGCTGCACTGACAATGCAGGGGTAGCCCCAGCCCCTCCTGGGCTTTTCCAAGCTCCTGGCTCCGGGGATGCTCCGTAAAGGTTCACGAGCTGCTGCAGCAGCTCAGCCCTGGCCGTGCACACGCGATGACAGCGTCCTTGAAACGGAGCAGACATAACGTCGAGAGCGTGCAGATTGTTTATTTGAACCAGTAGCTGCAGGCAAGAGCGCCTTATCTAAATAGGAGGACTTTGCTGTCCAGCCACGTTTTGAATTGCCTGGTTACCAAGAGGCAGAATTTAGATGATTTTTCATTCTGCAAATGTGTTTTGTCAGGCATGAGTAAGAATGCCCTGCTGATCCAAGCGAGCTCTGCCTTGGAGTAGGGGGCTTGTGTTTTCTGGAGCTTGCTGGATTTTGTCCTGCTGGCAATCTGGCTCACTGACCTGGCACTGCCTGGGTTGTTTCTAAACAGAATGCGAGGTTGCCTGTGAGTTGCCCTGAACGAGAAACATTTGAAACCCTTTTCCGCATCCATCTCGAGACGTTTTCACTTCTTAAGGGGGATCCTATTTCTTGATCTTGCTGTCCATTTGCAATCACAAACCTCCCCTTCTGTAGCAATAGTTTGTTGTCCCTACAGTATTTGCTTACCTGGAAAGATGTTAATTTAAAATCATTTGATGTGTATTAGAGCACTGCAGCTAGGGGAAAAAATGATCTTTTATGACAGCTTCCAGGACCCAGCAAGTTTTCTGCAAGGGACAAAAGCTACCTTGCTTAAGCTATTGGAGCGAGAAGCTGTTGGATGGTTCTGCATGAAAAAACCTGTAAATTCCCATATAAGCTTTTAAATCTTCCCTTTTTTATATTCCCACACAGAGTTTTAAACCAAACTAAGCTTTGTCCTAGAGGTAAAAATAGTAATGAAGCAGCCGTTTAAAATTAGTTGCAAGCAAACTGTTGAGCTAGAGTATCTGACCTTTTAACGTTAATTAAGCTTTCTAGTTAAGGAGGAACAACTAATCGGCATGGAGACTTGATAATTTTTCCCAGAGTCCCAACTTTCCACATTCCTTCATTGTGTGTGTGCTCCAGAGCATGTTCTCTCCCAGACATTTTGCAAGGCCGAGATAAGAAGGAGCAACTGTCAGGCAGGTGCCCTGGGGCTTATCTGCATGTTTTCAAGTTCTGGCCTAGAGCAGTTTAACCAAGGAAGTCTGTAAACACATGGAAGGGATTGGAGCTAAATGAAGTACAGTGTTTGTGCTGGGGTGTCGACTGAAGTTTGCCTACCTTCATGAAATCTCAGCACTCTTTCTCGTTTAGAAAAGAGTCAAGGGTTTCTGAAGCTGGAGGTTGTAGATATTAATGAGTTTTATTGCTGAAATATACTTCCTTTCAAACAGAAGGGGATATCCCACGTGGGTAGGATTCATTCCTCAATAAACAGATCACCGTGAGGCTGCGAAGCAGGAAGAGTCTGCTGGTATTTCAAGCTAATCCTTATGGAAACTTGTGTTCTTCAAGTGGAATGCTCTGCGAGAGAACCAAGAGTAATTAATGCTGTTTTCTTCTTCCCATTGCCCTAGGAAGGAGAAAATAATGACAAGTTCTTCACGCACCCCAAGAATGCCAAAGCGCTCGCTGCCTACCTCTTTGCACACAACCACCTTTTCTACCTAATGGAGCTGAGCACAGCGCTGCTGCTGCTGCTGCTGTCCCTCTGCGAGGCGCCCGCGGTCCCCATGCTCCGCCTGGGCATCTACGTAAGTGCCTGGGGCAAAACGAGCACGTCTGCTTGTTTCACAGCAGTGGTTTAGGGCAAAAAAGAAGATGAAACATAGAGGAAGAGGAAAGCAGTACTAGGAAGAGCCATCTGGCTTGAGAGCCAGGTATGTTGGTTGGCCAGCCAGCAAAACATCCCTTTTTTCATCCAGTGTGCATATAGGCCAACAGCAAAAGGGACGCTTGCTCTCTATGATCAAGCTGGTGCAGTTCTTAAGTTTCGTAAATGTTTGAGAAGTGTCAGTTTTGCTTTTATTTGAGATAACTCAAGAATCTATGGGGCTTTGAAGGGGTGATTTTAAAGTCATCGTTGTGGCTGGTCCTGATATACCAGCGTGTTACCCACTGGTTCCCAGAACGCAAAGAGTTGCAGCTTTGGCCAAGCTGCCAAACCTTCTTGTGTCCTCTCCTCAGAATGGTAGGGCTGAGAGGACTCTTCTTCATGTGTATGTGTTTAAGTAACTTGAAGTTTTATATCTAATTTTCACAAAGTGCGGATTTAGAGATGAGTTGGGAGTCACCATCTCGACTGTGATGAGCGTACTGCTGTCAGTGCACTCCCATTTCTTGCCCATTTGAGTTTTGAGCTATGGCTAAAGCTGAGGTTGTAAAAAACAAATCTACCCTCTTTGTGAGGCATTCTGTGTTTTCAATCTCATTCCTTCAATTCGCTAAAAAAAATGCAGTCTTAAACTTTCAAAAATATGTCTGCTTGAATTGCTGCTGTCTTGTCTTTTGGTATGTTGTTTTGAATATCAAAAGTTGTATTTTTGTTATATTGCTCAATTTCTAAAAATAACATGGATTTCTAGGAAATTCCAGACTACTACTGAATAGAGAAAAATTTTCTAGGCTTTAATATAAGCACGAAGCAATAAATGCAGAAACTTTGAAAACTCGAGAATGCCATGATACTCGTAAGGGTGGCGTCAGGTTCTCTGGGTTTCCACTGCTTAAATTGCTGTTTAATCCACGTGCTCCTTACAAAAGGAAGAGCATCGGTGTGTTCTGCTTGTTTTTGTAATCGCAAAGGACAGCTTAAGCTTTGCTTTGCTGTGTTGTAACAGGTCCATGCAACCCTGGAGCTGTTTGCATTAATCGTGGTGGTCTTTGAGCTCTCCATGAAGATGCGGTGGTTGGGCTTCCACACCTTTATCAGGCACAAAAGGACCATGGTGAAGGTAAGTTGCTTTCCTGTTGGTGCTTCTCCTTCAGCATATCCAGGAATCAAGGAGCCACAGTAACTGTGGGGCTGTACAGTAGCAGGGAAAATTTAGGCTCGTGTCCCCACTGCCAAGCTATTTATGTGAGGTGTCAGAGCCTTGGGAGTCACCTTCCCCCGTTGAAGCACCCAATTTGGCTTGCTTTTCCCAAGTGGAGACTGTAGCTCTCTTTAGACACTTAAAAATAGATTTTATTATTATTATTTTTTGCAGACTTGCGTGCTATTTGTGCAGTTCATAGAGGCCATCGTGGTGTTGGTGCGCCAGACCTCACACGTGCGGATAACCAGAGCCCTGCGCTGTATTTTCCTGGTGGACTGTCGTTACTGCGGCGCGGTCAGAAGGTGAGTGATCAGCTCTCTGTCTGAGAGAAGAGAGAAGGAAAAGCACCCTGCTCCTGAGGGCACTAGGGAAAACAGGTGCCTTTCATGGGCATTTCAGATCTCACGTATTTTGTGACTGGGTCTCAAGTGTATCAGCATCTTGCCTTCATAGGGAAATTTCCTTAGTAATTTTGGATATGTCCATAGTGCTTGTGTGGTACTGTCGCTGGTGCAAGAAGTCTTTCCAGCTTCATCTTGCATCCAGGCTTCACCGTTCTTGCAGCAGCAGAACAGACAATGTGATACAATGCCTGAGTTTTCACTGTATAAGTGTGTGTGTATGTATGTAAGTGTGTATGTGTATGTAAGTGTGTATGTGTATGTATACACATATACATATATATATGTACACATTTCTCCTACTGGAAGTAGGGGGAGGAAAGTCCTTCTCGAGTCTGTTCTTATTTCCTCACTTTTATTTTTATTTCCTCCGTTTGGAGAGGAAGGTTTCGTTGCTATATGGAAGCCCACACAAGTTCTTGCTCAAAAAGGTTTTCTCTCTTTCCAGAAATCTACGACAGATCTTCCAGTCCCTCCCCCCATTTATTGATATTCTCCTGCTCCTGCTTTTCTTCATGGTGATCTTCGCCATCCTGGGTGAGTTGTACTCACAGAAGTCGAAGCTGTGATAATCCCAACCAGATATTGTCTAAGGATAGCAGAAAAACTTGCATGAACATGCAGCTAATCACATTGTGGAAGAAGTCAGCTAAGTGGAAGATTCTGGCAGGACTCAATCGTGCCACGTGCTCTAGGTGACCCTGCGTGTGCAGGGGGGTTGGACTAGATGATCTCTAGAGGTCCCTTCCAACCTTAAGCATTCTGTGATTCTATGATTCTATGATCCCCAAGATGCAGTTAAAGAACTAAAAATTCTAGGAGCTGACGTTCGGTTTGGTGACAAAGGTCCTTTTGACCTTTGCCAGAGGATAGTTTGTGGTGTTTATACATGTAGTTTCCAAATTCTGTTTCTGGGAACTATTCCTCAGTGCAGGAAATTCAAGCTAAACTCCTAGGAATTCAAGGGTAGAGTACCCGCTATGGGTCCATCCTCAGGTAATTCACAGAAAATTTACTTTCTGAAAGGATCAGTCAAATGACAGCCACTATCAAAACTGTATGGAGAAGGCTGACCTCCCTCTTCATGATATCAGTGAGGGCTTCCAGCTTTTTTGTACAACCTGCTTTTGGGGAGCAGAGACTTAGCAGTTTGTTACTTGAAATTAAATATCTTTTTAATTTGTGTTCCCTGTTCTTTTCCTCCTTTCCCTCTCTTTTTTGTTTTCTAGGTTTTTATTTGTTTTCTCCTAACCACTCAGATCCTGTAAGTAATCACTGCTTCTTTGGGCTGAATCTCAAGGCCCATTTTGATCAGTTTAAGAATTAAGCATTTCTGAGTAGATGTAGCTTTATCCCATATGGTGGTCAAGGAAGCTGGTTTCCGCCTGATGCCAGTCATGAAAAGGGGCAGCAGTTGTGAGCGAGGAGGCCTCTTGACAGTATTACTTTGGGTTAACTTCCTTCCCCTTCCTGGGAAAGAAGGCAGTAAATGAGACTTCCTCAAAGACAGGAACACCCAAAGGGAACATCAGTGAAGTTGTTCTTTGTTCTTGATGTCTTAATTCCGCCAAATGTGACCCACAGCTGTCCCCAGTGGAGAAGGTATCTGGGTGACAGCTTGGCCTTCTCAGGCTGACTCCTATGAAGTCCAGTAGTGCTAGTTCCCGTTGTTGTTGAGTCTGTCTGTTGCTTACTGGGAGTAAATACTACAAAAATGTGCAGAGGAGCTTTTAATCATTTTACCTCTTCACCTGCCATGTTCCTGGGGCCTCTAAAAGGAACCAGTGCTAAATGATCCTCTTCCTAGGAAATGTAGAAAGGCCTGTATTCTAGTGGGCTTCTTTTGAACAAAATAAGTATGAAAGGCTGCTTGCATTTTTATTTATTTATTTTTCTTTCAGTATTTCAGTACTTTAGAGAATAGCCTTGTGAACCTCTTCGTTCTTTTGACCACTTCCAAGTAAGTTTGTGCTTGTTTTAGCTTGGTCTTTGCCTTTCTTCCCCAAAGAAATCTAGCAGATCAAGAGTTTATTTGCAGTAGTGCCAGATCTCCCTTTTCTCTGCATGAGAGAAATATTGCACAGGTTCATCTGCATGGAAGGAATGTACTTCGTGTTAGGATGCTGACCTCGGATGCAGAGTTATCTCTAAGCCACTCGGAGCACTTCCTCACTGTGCAGGCAATAAGAGGGGAGACAACTTTATTGGGCCTGGATCCAAGGAGGAGAAGTTTCTGCTTGTGCTCCTCTCTCAGGGATAGTTCGTTGTTGTGAAGCTCTTCCGCTTCACTTTTCCTATCTAGAAAAAGTTGATAACAGCACTAAGCAAATATTGCTTAGCTGTCAGAGTGGGCTGGTAGGATTAGGAAATTCAAAATCTGCAAAATCAACCAAGAATAAATCTTTGGTTGTTGTTCTGTAATACTCTTAGCCCAAGGATTGGTGTGATTATTTTGTGGCTGTGGAGTATTGCTGTTACTAAATCACAACCCCTTAGCCATAGTGCAAACCCCCTTTACCCGTTTGGGTTTCAGGATGTGCAGGGAATATGCTCATTCATTTTCCTTCTTTTTCATCATGCTTCCATGCTTTATCTGCTCTCTGCTGGGCTCACAATTCTGTGTCACGAGCAACTGTGTGTTCTGCAGAAAGCTGCAGACCCACTGCTGTGGGTGCGTGCCCCTCTGGGACCTGTCTCGTGCTCTCACCCACATATACAGATTATAGTGTTAGCAATTTGGGTGCTTAAACTTGTGCCTTTTTGGGATACAGCTTCCCTGATGTGATGATGCCATCCTATGCCCGGAACCCCTGGTCCTGTGTCTTCTTCATAGTGTATCTCTCCATTGAGCTGTACTTCATAATGAACTTGGTAAGTCTTCTATTGAAACCTTTCACTTCTCTGTCCCTGACTTTGAATTTCCTTGCCCACTGGAGTCTTCCCAATTCCCAACAGTGCTGTGTAACAATTTGGGACTATTTGGCAGAATGCTTCTAGAAATGGCAGCTTTGCTACAGGTAGGAGTCTCTTAATATTCAACTGTAAGGAAATAAACTAAGTCACAGAAAACAGAGATGCAAATAATCTTTTCGTTTTCCTCGCATTCATATGCTGTTGGAGTGACACACACAGTTGCATGAAATTTATTGTCCTTCCCCATCTTAATTATTTATCATGAAATGGCATTTTATTATCTGGACTTGCCTGAAATCCTTTGTAAATCATTTTGAAAGGGATGGAATTGCAAAGTGTGGCAGGACTTGAATTGCAATAGCCCTGGCATCCGCGCTGTGCTGCGTCTCCGCTTCCCTTTGCAGAGCTTGCAGACAGGGCTGGCTCCTGTCTTTGCTTTATGTGGATGTCTGTGTATTGAGAAACAGCGAGCTGGAGGTGCAGCTGCCACCCTGGACAGCCTGGCAGCACCCAGTAGGGAGTGCAGGGAGGTTTTGAGTAATGACAGGAGTGGAATTGTGCCCTGTGGGTCACGGTCTCGGGGAGGCCCCGCGTGTCCTGTTGCAGCAGGGTTGTGAGGGTGCTCATGAGCGTGGCGGCTCTGCTGATTCCGCTTCTCCACCCGCAGCATCCAGCAGGGCCAAGACCAGCTCTGGGGGAATGTGGGCTGCGAAAGAGACCCTGCGAAGAGCTGGGGAACCCCCAGCCCAAGAGGAGTGATTTGGTGCTTCTAAAGAGCTTGGATTACAGTGCTCTTATCTGAGATAGAAGTTTAGTTTGCACATCTGTTTGCCACAGCTGCTGTGGAAGGATGAATCCTGACAGTAGCCCTTCAAACTTGCTTTGCAGGAAGAGATCAGGGCATTTTAACAAACCTTTCCATAGTGTCTTTCTGTTGGCCTGCATGGGGCTTTGCCTTAGTTCTTAAAACCACTAACAAGTGTTAGGAGGCCAGATACATCTGAAGCTCTTCAAAAAAGTGGTGTGGTTGGTAATTCCTTTGTAGCCTTATGGCTGAGGGTCCCTCATTACCTCCCTTCTACTGCACATTAGTTTGGCACTTAGTAAGATTCCTCCTTCGGGCAAAGCTTCTCCCTGCTTCTCCAGACTGGCTATTCCCGCCTGTTGGAGAACTCGGGTCGGGTGGCCACCTAGTGCCAGAGTTAAAACTTGCCTTTCTCTCCCATCCTCTCTCTGCAGCTTCTGGCCGTTGTGTTCGACACCTTCAACGACATCGAGAAGAGGAAGTTCAAGTCGCTGCTGCTGCACAAGCGCGCGGCCATCCAGCACGCCTACCGCCTGCTCATAACCAAGCAGGTACCGCGGCGCGCGGCACCACGGGCGTGTGGCCACTGAAAGCTGATCTAGGATGGTTGATTGCAATCCCAACCACCAAGGGCTACTCTTTTTCATTTGTATGGCTTGTTTTAATTTATTTCTGGAGGAAAAACAAAGTAGTGTGGGTTTTAGGCCCGTGTCAGGCTGTGGAAGTGCCCTGATAAAACAGAAGCTTGTCCTGCAGTGCTTGCAAGCCTTGGTTTTTCTCTCTGCTTCAGTGTGGGTCACTCTCATCTCAAACACCAGTCCTTAGGGGAGGTGTGGTTGTACGTATGAAGGGGCAGTCACCAGGTACTGCTTGGGCAGAAGTAATTCACCTACAGGCAGTTGTGTATGGGGCAGAGCGCTGCAGGAGAGAGTTGGTTTCTTGCTTCAGGAAGAGAATTGAGACCTGAGGACCTTCCACTAGATTAGCTCATGTTTAGGGCTCATCCATTATATGAGCTGTTCCTGGAGAATGGTGGATGGTCTGAAAAAAAGTGTCAGTAATGGGGCCTGCTAGGCTGCCTAGGCATTTCCCAGGGAGAGTTAGACTCTGTTGCTTGGGATGTCTGGTTGGACAACTTTCTTGGGATAGCTCATCAGGGAGCAATCCCTGCAAAATTCTGCAATCGCAGGAGGGACCTTTTGCCAGGAAATCTTTCTAAGTCTGTGCTCTGAGATAGACTCAGTGTGGTAAAGTAATAGCTCAGGGTACTTTGGGGGCTTAGCTGTAATGGCATCTTAGGGTGATGTAGAAATCCTCTCCAAACACATTCGGAGTGGGAATTAAATAGACTAGCCTGTATGTGCTCCTGCTTCATGTCTTTGCTTATAGCATCATTCCCTTGTTTCTAGAGGCCGACTGGAGTTTCCTTCAAGCACTTTGAAGGGCTGCTGCGGTTCTACAAGCCTCGGATGTGTGCCAGAGAGCGGTATCTCACTTTCAAAGCACTGAATCAAAGCAATACTCCTTTAGTCAGGTAGGATGGTCTTGCTACTGTGCCCAGAACAGGGCTGCTGCTTCGCTCTCCACAGCTGGGCTGCACCTTGGAGAGGATGGCTGGGGTTATGGAAGGAAACTTGCCTGGAATGGGAGTTGTTTTGTGCTGGGGGTGCACTGGGAAGCCAGCTTGTTCTGCCGAAGTGCTGGAATCCCTGCATGCCCTCTTGTGGATACAGGGCTCTGCTGGCTGCCACCAAGCTCTGTTTCCCACTTCTCCCGTCAGAAGAGAGGAGCAGAAAATTGAGAAACAGCCCTGGAGTCTGCAAGGAGCCCTTATTCCCACAGTGCAGCCTTGCAACTTAACCAGTTCTTATTCCTCCAGCAGCTGGCTGTGTCCCCCAGAGTTTTGTTAATTAAAATTTGGTTCTGCTGCAGCTTTCAAGACTGTCATCCTCTGTGTTATGAGGCAGAGAATTACCATTCTGATGGGTGGGAGCAGCTAACTGCAGCCAGCATGGAAGCAGAGGGAATTGGAGCAGGAGGGCTGCTCATCCCTTTCCTTTGTTCTGGCCACAGACAACCTTGGAGCGAATGTCTCTGGCAAAACTGGTGCCAGTCTTTCTCCTTATAGTCAAACATTGTAGAGAAATGGTGAAAGTGGCATAAGCAGAAAGACCAAGTTGTTAAATTGAGGCACCTAGTGACACCGGTCTGCGTCCAAGAATTTCAGCCTCTGCTCTTTGGGACACTAAAGTCTGACCCCAAGCACCTAGATACAGTCACTCGTGTTTTACAAGTGTGCTGACTTCTTTGCTTTTATGACTTTTGCCAAAATTCTTTTTTACCTTTAAAAGCAAATGTGTAGAGGTAGTAGAAAAGTAAGGTAAGAGTAATTAAGGAAAGTATGGTCTCTGTCTTTTGGAGCCTGCTATATCTGAGATCTCTCTTCATGGTAAAAATCTGGAGTTCAGTGGAATCAGTTTTCTCTGGAGGCAGAAGGGGAGTGATCTCTGCTAGGTCTTGTCCAGAAGGCAGGTGGCTCCATGCTCTGTTTGGGCCCTTGTCAGCTCCATGCTGAGTTCTCCGCTGTGGTTGCAGTCCTGGAAAGGAGTTAACTTCCAGCTACTTGCTGCTGATGGCACTTGACAAGGACAATTAAGGATAAAAGCAGCCCTAAGGATCTAATCAAATGCTTCTTTCTATTTTACAGCCTAAAGGATTTTTACAATTTCTATGAAGTTGTTGGCTTAAAATGGAAGGTAGGTATTTACCAGATGGGGAAAAGGGGAAATGTGTGTAGGAGGGAAAGCAAAGGAGGCCAGTGATTACTTAAGAAGGGGGTTGAGAAACAAAGGCAATCTGAAAGAAACCCGTGGTGGGGGTAAGGTGGGTCCCCCTCATGGCATGTTTTTGTATGGATGTAGTGCAGACTCCCTCTTATCAAGGCTGTTCTGTTTCCAGGCAAAACGAAATCGTGAGCACTGGTTTGATGACCTTCCACGGACAGCATTCCTTATTTTTAAAGGTAAGGTGGCACATTTAGATGACAGCATGCATTCCACCAGGCTGAAAAACATTTCTTTATGAAGACAAGGCCTTCCAAAGGGACTTTGTCACTGTGCGTCTCTGTGCCCAAATGTCCGTGGTAAACAGCTGAGAAAGGCCTGCTGACCAGCTCACTTTGTATTCAGAGCTTCCAAGGCGCTTGAGTCTCCAAGGGAGATTTGTCTTGTAAATATTCCCTGTGCTCTGTCCCAAAAAGCAACTTGCATAAAATAAGAGGCCTCTTGGCAGATACTCTGTAACAAACCAGCTCCTGAGGCCAGGGCGAGCTGTATTCCTTTCCCGGCACAGAGGTTAGCTGGGGATATTTGCTTGCTGCATCTAGCAGAGTTTGTAGATTTGTTTCTCTGTATCCCAAGCAGTAGCTCACAGCAGTCTGTGCAGTAGATTTGTGCTTTTGCAGAAGCTGCTAGGCTTCCTAGTCCCAGGATGTGATTGCAGTGCTCATACAGGTCAAGTTCGGCTGCTAAGGAGAGGGAAAGAGATCAGAAATATTCATCAGAGTAATTTTTCTTGCAAATGTGACTCATGTCCCCTGTCCTAAGTTTCCTGACAGAACATAACCATTCAGAAATAAGAACTTATCTGCAGTTCCTTTTTCAATGTTTTATGCTGATGGGGGCAGTTAATACTGTCTTGAAGCAAATTTACTGCTGCCATAGGAGCCCTGCATATTTATGCTAATGCACTCACTCCTTTCCAACATATTCATTGCCCCATATGTGGTCAGTGCTTCATCAGCTGTATTTATCTATGTAATATTTTTGTGATGTGGTTGGAGAGAAGATGTCTAAGTGGATGAAGAGAGCTAGTTCATTCCTACTGGTGTTCTAGAGGAAGATTGGTCCCAAGAGACCAAAGGTAATAATCTTCTAAAGCATTTAGTTTCTGTGCTGAGAATTGATAGGAAAATGTCTCTTGGGAGAAGATAGAGGAAGCTGTGTGTGAACTATAGGGGAATGCATAAATATTTGTTTTCCTTCCTGCAGGCATCAACATCCTTGTGAAGTCACGAGTGTTCCAGTACATCATGTGTAAGTAGGAGAAACATGGATGTTATGTCTGTGCCACGTAAGAGCTGTCTGTGCAGGAGTTCAGTGTGGTAGGGCCTGCTCTGCTGTCTGAGCCATGGCCCACACAGGAATTCCTAAAATTTTGGTGGAGAGAGTGGGAAGAGTGTGTTGGTACTGGCTGCTGCTGCACTTTGAGTTCTCAGTTCTCACCGTGGTTGAATCATCTGCAGGGGTTTATTGGTTCAGTACTTCCTAAGACACGTGTGGATCTAATTCTGTAGGACCTGGCTTGTTGCAGGGGACAGATTGTTTGGCCTGGAGGTTTTTATCTTGCAACCGAAGGCTGCTGGAGCCGGTCAGACTTCTCGTGTTGCCTGCACTCGAGGAGTGTAGCATCCTCGTTACTGGGGGGATTGCCTGGCAGTTGTGCTGCCTGTGAGAATGATTTTGTCTCCTCTTCCATAGAGAAGAAAAAGTGGTCACTTGTGGTGCTAGTTGCTGTGTTCTAAATGATCTCTTCCTACTCAATAGGGTTTTTTTTGAATGCCAGAAGAGAGGATTTTGTGAGTTAGGGTGATAGATTGAGTGAGGGGTTGGGAAGACTCGAGTGAAAAAGAGCAGTCTGCCATCTTTGGTTTTCTGGATATGCCTATGGGGGAGAAGGGGAACATGCAAATTGACAGAAGTTTTATCTTGCACTTTTGGGGAACCTGCTGCATTTATTTTGCACTGTTGTGGACATAGTGATTCTCAAGAGCCTGTTTCAGAACTAGGAAGATGAAATATGCATGCATTAACATAGCAGAGTATAAGATAATTATTGGTAAAAGGAGTTGTAGTTTTGCCTTTTCTTTTTTTTTTCTTTTTTTTCCTTCTTTTTCTTTCCCTCCTTCTGGAAACAAAGGTGCTTTATCTGTTTCACAGGCTGGGAAAATGCAGGGCAGAAGTTCAGACTCTCCTAAGCCATGAGTCGAAACCTTTAGTTGACTTGGAATTACGTTCCAAGCACTGACTTTTTTACTTGTCGTGTATTGTAGGCTCTGTTGTAGAAGTCTGTTTAGTAGGTTAGGAAAATGATATTTTCTGATCTAGGAGTGTTTTTCCTATGGGTTTTTGCTTTGTTTTCCAGATACTGTGGTGGCTGTGAATGGAATTTGGATTCTTGTTGAAACCTTCATGCTGCAAGGTAGGAAATATTTCTTCATTCTTGACTATGTTTTGGGATGATTAAAGAGGAGGCTAGAAAATCTCGTTCTTGTGTCTTTCAGGAGGGAATTTCTTCTCCAGAAACGTCCCATGGAGCTACATAGTCTTCCTCACAAGTAAGTTTTTGTCTCCTAGATGTTGCTTCATAACCAGGTGGGAGGGCAGTGCGGACAGCTCTGTTCCCAAGTGTCAAGTTAAAAACGGAGTCACAAGGGGCACAGACTGTGCCTGGCGGGGACTGTCCCCATGCAGACAGACCTGCCTGTGCCCTGCTCTGCTCTCGCCCTTCCCCGAGCTGCAGCAGTCAGGGGAGCCTCACTGCACAGACTGAAACGTTACTGCTAGAGCTGGCTCAGCCCTGAGAGCAGAGCAGCCTCGTTGGCTGGACACAACGTGCAAGGTGATAAGCTCCTGCAGCCTGTGCTGGCCCTGCGTGGCGCTGCCCTTGCTATTCCAGAAGGCTCTTGCTATTCCAGGAGGATCAGACCAGCTCTGATCCCATTGTGCTTGTGAGCTGGCTCCACGCAATGTGAGGCAGCCCTGTTGGAGTGCAAGGTGCAGGAGAGGTGTGAAAGGACTAGCTGGACTACTTGATTAGTTAAATTTGACTATTTGATTATTAGCTTGCAACTCGAACGTCATCTCTCCATCAGCGTGTGTCTCAGTCTCCCCTTTTCAGCCCAAACATAAACACCAGACCTTTATACACTGCCAAGGAGTTTCTGAGTGCTGAGAGTTTGTTTCTCACCTGCCAGTGTCACTGCCTCAAAATAGTGTAGAACTGCAGTAAGAGATGCTTTGGAGAACCTGAGAAAGGCTACTGAGGTCCAGTTTGACTTCTGGGTAGCTCTGGTGCTTCCCTGCTCATTACTCTCATTAGTCTTCAAAGCACTCTTGGAAGTCTGAAGGCAGAGACACTCTTGACACTTTCTTTTACAAGGATGTTGTCACCAGTCTCTTCTCCTCTAACCTCCCTCTTTGGAGCCTGCAAAGGAAAATTCTGGGATGCCCAGAACAAGGCATGATCATGTCATTGTTTTGTTGCCTACAAACCCACAAGGTGCTACCAGGACAGAGATGGCTCCTCTTTGAAAGCATCTCCTTGCAGATTGCAGGCTACATTGTGGGATGTCCAATATGTTCTGCCAGGGTAGAAGAAAATAAAACCGGCAGGACTGAATTTCCTACCTGATTTTCTGGCCTTTTCTACAGGAGTTTATGCCTCAGCATTCATAGTGTATTAGCCAACTGGGGAGAAATCTCCATGAATACGAATGAATGTGGTGCTTTGGAGGGAAAGTGTTATTTGCTTGACATCTCACTGAGGATAAAGAGGATGGGCTGGAGTCTGTTAAGCCCATGTTCAGCAATTCTGTACGTTCCTGATGCACCGTGCATATTTGAGGACCAGCCTTTGTGTAAGGCCTCTTTGTGATGCTGCTTATTTCTGTCTTTGTCTCTTGTCTTCTACAGTCTATGGCGTGGAGCTGCTCCTGAAAACCACTGGCCTGGGGCCTGTTGAGTACCTGTCTTCGGGGTGGAATCTGTAAGTGTGCACTAAAGTTTTGAGAGATACAGTGAAAATTGCTGGATTAGAAAGACTGACTTTCGAGAGCAGATTTTAGACCTGTTAGATGAGGCCACCTGCAGGAGACTTTCGAGAGCAGATTTTAGACCTGTAGATGAGGCCACCTGCAGGACATTATAATTGTTCTGTGCCTGGCCTTGTGCATCTTGTCAGGCGGGAGTGGCACCAAGTACCACTTCTCTGCTGAAATCCAATGATACATCATTGCTTTTGTTATATCTCTATGTTTTTTTTTTTTCCAGCTTTGACTTCGCAGTCACCCTCTTTGCATTTCTGGGGCTCCTGGCACTGGCATTTAACATGGAGCCGTTCTACTTCATTGTGGTCTTGCGACCTCTTCAGCTGCTGAGGTGAGACAGGGAGGCTGTGTGGGGAGGACGGAAAAGAGATGGGGAGGAAAACAGCCAGGCTTGTTTTCATTCAATCCCGTTGGGGACTGAGCTCCTTAGCAGGAAAGGGCAAGGATTGCTCTGTGGGTACATGACCATGGCAAGCAGGAATTACGTGGGGTAATGAGATTAGGCAGAGTTATCAAAATGACTGATAACAAAAACTTGGGATGGGATATGAAACCCCGTGCTTTGGAGCTTAAGCTGATCTCTATTAGAGATCAAGGGATTTACCAGGGGCAGATTATCCTATGTCTGCCTTCGTGGGGTTCTTGCACCTCCTCTAAATTGTCTGATGCTACTCAGAGAAAAGCTCTTCTGTCAGGGTGAGACTGTCTGAGCCAGTTTAATAATTTCCATTGAATTACCAGAAATTACAGTTTTCAAAGGATACTGCTTTCTAGGGTGAAGCACAACCCAGCTCTGACTGCATCTCACTGTATAAGCAAGACTGGCTATAACCTCTCTGCAGCTCAGCAAGACGGGTACGATTAACCCTTCCGTGCTGAGACTGCTGCAGAGTTTCAGTCACCTTCACAGAATGCTTTGAGAGCCATGATGGAAGGTATTTTCAAGGGGCAGAATATTGTTTTATTAAAATAAAGCTAGTGTGGCTTAGTTCTTCACTGAAGATTTAAAGAACGCTTAATGACACTTGGGCAGGGGGAGACTTATTTTCTCCATCGCTACCCTGCCAACGCCTGTGTTGGTAACTGTGCTCTCTGCAAAGGCTGATGAAATTGCCGAGTTTGACGTTAGCAGGCAGAATGTGGTTTTACTTTCATCGTTTTATTGAGTCACGGGGGAAGCAGAGAAAAGCTTGTGTCTGAGGAAAGGAGAAATGAATCCTGACCCTGTGCACAGGACTGATTTAGGCTCCCGTGGTTTCAAAGATGTAGCTATTTATGCTTCATGCTCTATAACAAGATGAGAGTCTTTCTTTGAGATACCTTAATCCTGCAGACACTTACTTGGATATGTCGCAAGCATTCAGATGGGATAAAGACACCTGCTCAGGTGAGCAGAGTATTTGAGTGAGTGCAGATTCAGTGAGTTTGATGTCAGGAGGCCTTAGCTGCTCATTGACTTGTGTGGTGGAGACCGGTGATACTCTTCTAACCATTCCCAGCAATCATGAGAACTCAAGGATTGCCGTACATGGATAATCATGCACAATTCTCCTTTCAGGCTCTTTAAATTGAAGAAGCGTTACAGAAATGTCCTGGACACCATGTTTGAGTTGTTTCCCCGTATGGCCAGGTACCAACTGACTTGTCTTTGGGTGGGAGAAAGAGGGAAGAGGGCCTGGGGCTGGCATCAGGATAGGGACCTGTCCAACCTGCCAAGAAAATGGATGGGCTGAGCTGTCAGTTCTCCTGCTCCTAGGACTTCTTGGATGAAAGCAGACCAAACACTGCAGAGCAGCAACAGCTGGGAGACTGGTCTGAGGTTTTCAGTGCTGTTTCCCATTTATAGAAAATACTTGCTGGAGCTACCAGCCAGTACCTTTTTTCCTCTGTAAACGACTATTCAGTAATGCAGTTCTTTTCATGCTTATGTCCTCCAGCCTGGGTTTAACCCTGCTGATCTTCTATTATTGCTTTGCCATCGTTGGCATGGAATTCTTCGCTGGTGTGGTCTACCCGAACTGCTGCAAGTGAGTACTGCAGATCCTTCCTCCTCTGCAGCAGGTTTGGTGCAAAGGAAAGAGCTGTGCCTCCCTCATCGCTAATCCCTGAGAAGAAGGGGCCAGAGGGTGGGTTGGAATAGACCTTTGTAGCAAAGGCAGCATATTTGGGAAATCCAGGGAAGTCACTTCACCTCCTTGTCCCTTCTCATCTTACATGATGTCAGATGACCAGAAAATGCCAAGCGTTAAGGGTGTGAGACAGAGATTCTGCCTCAAATGCCCAGTTTCTCTGGCCTAATATTTACCACATGGCTAGAAGGACCCTGAGCTTCTGCTGAGCTGTGAGGGTGGAGGAGATGGGCTCTCTTGTAGAGAGAGGCAAGTGTTGGCCAAGAGGGGAAGCTGCCATTCTGTTCACAGCCTCCTAAGCATTCTGGTGTCTGTAGCCCTTGGGATTTTCCTTGCTTTTCCGTCTCTCTTCTCATTCCTTGTCCTGGTTTCTCTGATTAGTACAAGCACAGTGGCAGATTCTTACCGCTGGGTGAACCATACCATTGGCAACAAGACAGTTGTGGAAGAAGGCTATTACTATCTCAACAACTTTGACAACATTTTGAACAGCTTTGGTAAGGGCAGTTTGCTTCACAGTGAAGACTATTTCTTAATGGATCTGTGTTCCTGCAGAGCTGGATGACAGGATTGCAGTGCTCATTTTGGCCTGGGATTCTCCCAGGAATTCCTGCCAATATGCCTTAAACAATCAACAGTCCTGCTCTTCCTGTCTGGATAGCTCTAGCTGAGTAGTTTTGTCATGACTTTTTTGCAAGATGAGCATACATCTCTTAACAGGCAGTGTGAAGCCAGCAGGCTTGTTCTAATAGGTGATCAGGTGAGACTTCCATAGATGTTTAAGAAGGGGTTTAAGTTACTACCCTGCGAAGGAGCTAACAGTGATGCTGTTACATTTCTTTAAACCTATTGATGAGAATAATTTGAATACAGTAATTTTTCTCCATGATTTTTCCACGGATGCTTATTTTCTCTTGGCGGTGTCGGAGGTCTCCATGCTGTCATGTGGAAAGGGTCAGGCTTGTTTCTGATTCTTCTTAAAAAATACAGATCAAAGTAAGTTCCTGATTCAGTGGGTCTTGGCAGTGAGAAGATGCCGAACTAATTGCAGTGATAAAGGTCTCTGGATTTGCTGGGTGTATTGCAACTTGGTGGGCTGTATAAAAACTTGATGTCTTAAAGTCTTTGACGGGGACAGCTGAGGGCTAATAAGCATTCTGAAACAGATCCAGTTGGGTAAGGCAATTACCTTTCTTTTTTCTTCCACTCTTACACAGTCACGCTGTTTGAGTTGACAGTCGTCAACGACTGGTACATCATCATGGTGAGTAAACCTCTGCTACCTTTTCTGTACAGACAGTGCTGACACTTGCCAGGACACTGCTGAGCTAGATCTTCTACCACCACTGCTTTCCTCCCCAGCAATTGGAGGTGTGCAGCATTAGGCCCAGCACTGTCACTTGCTATTGCCAAATATTTGTTTCTCTAGATTTTTGGGTGATATTTAACACCGGTGAGGCCCTGCTGAGTATGTTTCTCCTGAACATTGATCAGCCTTCAGAGCAGATTTCAGGATCTGGAAGAGTGAAGTCCGTTCTATTCCATCTTATCACCCTGTGCTCCAGGCCGTGCTTGTACAGCAGCAAAGGCTCATATGCTCAGGGTTTAATTGTACAGCAGCAAAGGCTCATATGCTCAGGGTTTAAATTATGTTTATTTGCATTTAGAGGCTGATTAGCTACAGTTGGAGCACTGAGCAATGTGCAGGTAGTCACTGGGGCTATAGCTGTCAAGCCACGGATACGAGATAGGTGATGTTTGTGCTGTTTTAAGCTGGTGACAGCTAACAGGAGGCTCCCCCTTCCTTTACACACTACTGACATTTTTACCTCTCCTCTCTAGGAAGGGGTGACCTCACAAACCACTCACTGGAGCCGTCTTTACTTCATGATCTTCTATATCGTGACCATGGTAGGTTTCTGGAGAGGTTTTGTGTATCAAGCAACGTGGATGGGGACAGGAGACTTTTTCCACCATGTTCTGGTGGGAGCCTCCATCCCTGAATGAGGAGAGCTCTGCTCCTATACATAATGTCTTCCAGAAACAGGTCTGCATCCACAGCACATGAAAAAAAGTTGAATCTATAAGATTTCTGGTCATTGACAAAGCTGATGCTGTAGAAATCTGGGCCTGGGATAAAGGCTTAAGCAGCACAAAGGTTTTGTTCTGTCCCTTTTGTGGCTGACTGTCTGTGGTTTATTCATAAAAAAGCAGATAAATATGTGAGTCAGGACATGCCCATCCCCTGTGGCCAGTAGGGGCTGGAGCACCAGGAGGTAAAGCCCAGACCAAATGTTGAGCTTCCTGTTGTTGGGCTGGAAAAACTCCCCAGCAACAGCCTGCTGACCTCTTCTGTCCATGTCCTCTCCCAGGTGGTGATGACGATCATAGTGGCCTTTATTCTGGAGGCTTTCGTCTTTCGCATGAACTACACACGGAAGAACCAGGATTCGGAAGGTCAGGACTTGAGAAGTGGCCAACTCACCGTTTTGTGTCTTCTCACTGATATCTTGTGTCTGTAGGGGAGAATGGGATTGACCAGCAAAGACCAGATTCCTTTTAGCCTGGTTTCCTAAACTCATCCCTATGCTTTTGTGTAGTATATCTACATGACCTTTCTTCTCTATCCTCATCTATCTCAAAATCCACCCCACCCCTATGCCCAGAAGTGTGTGTAGAAATATGTGCACATATGTGTGTACATAAATGCATACATATGTGGATGTACATGTGGATGTATAGAAATATTTAATTGAACCATTTCAAGGAGATGATTCAAGCAGAAGTCTACGCAGGTTTGGTAAAAGGCAGGATGCTAGGAAGCATTGTTGCAAAGATAAAAAAAAAAAGGCAAAAAAAAAAAAGCAAAGCTCGATGAGAGGCCTTGTGAGGGGGCAGATGTTTATTTTAAAATCAATTTTGTGCCAATATGCTGTTACCAGCACCAGGACACAGACCTGTGTCCACTTGGCCCATGCAGCACTGAGGCACTGACACACTGGATCCATGAGGTTTGCCAGCATTCCTGGTCAAGGCTTAGAGGGCAAAGGATGCTGCTTGTTCAATCCTCTTCATCTCTACTGAGTTCCTTTTAGGCTTGTGACCATGTACTGGTTTTGGATGTGCTTTTTTGTACCTTTTAGGAACTAACAGTGCCTCTTCTCTGCCATCACACCTCTCTGAGTTGGCAGCATTTACTCACTGTCCCTTTGTCTCCTGAGCTGGGTGTTTGAAGCTGAATGTAACTTCATGACCTGCTAATTTAGGTGTCATAAGCACATGCATCTCTTATAGTCCTTCTGCTTTCCCCTCTGGTTCTCCACAAAACACTTTTCTATTCACTCTCCATTCTATTCATTCTCCATTCTTAATAATTCTTTTCATTTTTTTCCATGGAAAGCGAAAGATAGATCCAGCAAACTTGCATGTATTTAATACCAGTGAATCTTCCTCGCAGAAACGTGTGACAGCCGCAGCCACAGGAGCAGCTTTGATCAGCACCTCGTCTTTCTCAAGTGCCAGGAAGTCCACATGTGAGGCACGGGCCCATAGGAACCAGACAGTTTCACCTACAGATCCACTTTTCATTTCAAGCTTTCCTGTATCCAGTTTTAAGAGTGCAGAAAAGGACATTTGCTAGTACCTTACTCTCAAGCTGAAGGTCAAAGGCAGCAATTACTGGGCAGTTATTTGCTTTTCTAATTAAGTTTGTAGGCAAGCAAAAAAGCCACAAGATTTTCTTAAGGTACTGAGGTGCCTAATGCTTTAAAAAGTAAGAGATGCCTTCTGGCCCTGTACACTAGTTATTTCCTTGCTGCCTTGTTGGGGAACAAGGACATACCTGCATGCCTAGCAGTGGGCACAGGCCAGATCCTGCTTGGTCCTGTGTGCCGTTGAGCTTTGTCCTTCAGGGTTATTGTCAAGAATTTCCTTAAGTTCCTGTGGAACTTTTGGTGTTTCAGTTTGTGGCCATTACCTCTAGTTCTGTTGGTGGCCACCAGTGAAAAGAGACCAGCACCATCTTCCTCACTGCCTCCCTTGAGGTATTTATAGACACTGCTCAGGTCCCCTCTCAGCCTTCTCTTCTCCAGGCTGAACAGGCCCAGCTCCCTCAGCCTCTCCTCATAGGGCAGATGTTCCAGGCCCCTGATCATCCTCGTAGCCCTGCGCTGGACTCTCTCCAGCAGCTCCACATCCCTCTTGTCCTGTGGGGCCCAGAACTGGACACAATACTCCAGATGTGGCCTCACCAGGGCTGAGTAGAGGGGCAGGATCCCCTCCCTCGACCTGCTGGAGACTCTCTTCTTAATTGTACCCAGGATCCCATTGGCCTTCCTGGCTACGATCTTCTAAGGGCCACCACCTGCAAAGCTGCTATGGGTGCCCTCTGCCCCATCCCCAGGTCACTGACAAGGATGCTGAAGGAAACTGGACCAGGAGTTGCTCCTTGGGCACAGCCCTAGTGACCACAGGGACCCGGGGGGTTGTGAAAGACCCGTTTTGCAGCGCTGGAGGCACCGACACCCTGACCAGGCTCCTTCCTCACCCAGGGACCTTGCAACTTCAGCAGAGATCACAGTTGAGATGATCGAGCACTGTTCACCCCCGCTAAATCCATGCTGGCTCTGCCCAGTAGCCCTGGGCTTCCACAAGAACTTGCTCCAAGCCATTATGGTGACTTTTTTTTTGCTTCCTTTTCCTTGCCCCTCCAGAAGACAACGGCATCATGCTGGAGAAGGAGATATCCAAGGAGGAAGTGATTGGGATAATAGAGCTGTACAAGCGGAGTTCAGCTGCCACTGAGACGTCTCAGCTGCAGAAGATTGTTTTGCAGATGGACAAATATGGGGTAAGAGGAGTGAGGTGCTGCAGGTTCTCTGCTTCAGGGAGAGGGGGAGGGAGGGAGATTTGCTAGGGCCACAAGTGCATTTTTGCTGTTTTCTGTAGAGAAACTGTGTGTGACTTCATAGTGTTCAAAGCTGTATTGCTGAAGGAACTTTGTAGCACGGTCACGAAGTTTTGCTGCTCTAGGAAAACAGCAACTCAATTTCCCCTGTGCTCTGAAAAGCTTTGGCAAAGGCTCATTGCTATAGGCTGCAAACTTTGCTTAGTGCTGTCGTGACCCAGTACCGACTGGAAGAAAAGCGTATTTCTTCTTCTCTGAAGAAGCCACCATCTTGTAGTTCTCTTGCCTCCTTCTGCAGCATAATGTGGCTCAGACAGTCCTGAAACTTCATGCAGCAGTACAACAGTATCAGTTCCAAACACCAGACTTCCTTTCTCTGCAGCACTGTTTACATTTCCACTCCCAAAAAAGGATGTTGACAATTGGAGAATGAAGCTGGCACAGATAACTATTCTTACCTCTGCGAGCTGTTGTCTCATGCATTTGAGGAGTATTTAAATGTGTATTTTAATAACTGCTGCTATATTCTCACCACTGCAAAGAGGAGGTGCTACAGTCTCTTAGGTGACGCTTAATTGCTTTGGTTGACTTGCTAGTTAAAGTTTGAACTCCTGTTCACACAGGTGAAGTTCACATTATCACGTAGTGATAACAATACTGATCATAAACACTGTTTTCAAAGCAATAAACCAAAGAAGATTGCTGTCCTCAGCCTTGCAATGGAGTATAGAAACGTGATGTTAAACCTGTGCCTTTTAATGGGGTTTCTTTTCCTTTCAATACAATTCAGATAACGCATATGATCAGAGAATAATTCAGGCTTTGGCTTTCTGTGTACATGATTTAAGAATTTGGGCCCATGGAGTAAGCGCTGTGGTCTAGACAAATGGGACCTGAGCTTGTGCTAAGACGAGACCTGCCTTGGAAGCTCGAGTTTGAGTCTGTTCCAGATGCTGCTGTCACATTCATTGGACTAAATAAGTGCCTCTGACAGAGGTGTGCCCAGCTGAGCTGATCTCTTGCAGCTCCCTTTGTGGTCTTTTGGGAGCTATCAGTGTGATTTACCAAAGCCTGCAATGGATGCCTGTATTTCGTCAAGTGATGTGCACCCTAAAAATGCTTCTGAGGAAGGAGCCCAGGGTATCCTGGGCTCATCTGTGGGAGACGGATGTCAGCATGAAGGATGCCTGAAGTTCTGAGAGCTGATCCTGTGACTTCGGTGATTAATAAATGTCTTTTTTTTTTTTTAATCTCTTTCCTCCTTTCTCCCTCACTTTCAGCAAATGTCAACACTGTTTCTGGGACGCAGATCGAGAACCAAGAGTGATTTAAGTATGAAGATGTATGAGGAGGAGATACAGGTACGTGCACCTGAGTGGGAAATACCACCCAGCCTCTGGGGTGAGCACTGCCCAGAATAACACACAATCCTTTTAAACACTGAAGACCTCTGCCTTTAAGACCCAGGCAGCTGTGAGCTCTGTGGCACAAGTTGGCAGTAGATTAATCTTTTTAGATTCATCAGTTCTGGCATTTGGTGACTTTCTCACCCCCCCTGAGTGCTCAGAGCCTCCGTGGCCTCGTGTGTGCTGCAGCTCCCGGGGCTGCCGGGCTCTCCGAGGTGGACATGCCTGCCAGGGGCCAAGGGCACCTGCGTCAGGTGCTGCTGGGGTTTGGCTGCTAATTTATTAAGCCGCAGGAATGTGATTGCACTTGAGCTGGGGAGTGTCTGCGCCTGACGCACACGTCGAGTGTTCCCCGGGCCAGAGCGGTGGGGTTTGGTGCTAGCAGTGCTGTGCCAGCTTTCCCTCAGGATACGGAGAAAAAAGGATCAGGAACCTACACTCTGGATTAACACGTTCCCTACTAATGTCCTCCAAGGTTAGGAGCTCCATGCCGTGAATTAGGTGACTGTAGTGCATGCCAGACTTGCTCTGTAGGTTGAAGGACATCGGCTAATATAATGATTAGCATCCAAAGCATTAATCCCGTAACCTTTTAAATCTGTCCTTTGCCCCTCGGACAGCTAGCTTGGAGGGGATGAGTCTTCCTCCATCCAACAAAGAAACATGTTCCTTGTCACAGAGCTGGCTGGAAATCCACAGGGAAGTGCCCTGTGTATCCTGCTGAGCCTCCAATTTGGAAGTGGTAAATGCCGTAATGTCAGAGGTAGAGTCCTGGGCATTAATAGAATCCTGAGCATTGTGGAGAGGCACCCTGGGGTGACAGTGATGTGGCTTTGCCCAGGTTTGTCAGTCCTGCCAGCTCAGGCAACAGTACCCAGGCCGTAGCTGCCACTTACTGCTCTGTGTGGGCACTGGGGTCCCGGTGTGCCTCTTGGAGCCGTGCTGAGGTTACCAGCTCCTTCCAGGGATCAAGTTTTCCAGGACTTGGCGTGACAAGGGAAAGGGGAGCCCAGAAGGAGTTCCTGTTTGCCTGAGCAAGTGCAGTGCCCTCAAGAAGTGGAGCAGCTTTGGGGATCTTCCTGGGGTGGAACGAGGCACCCAGGAGCAGGAGGGAGGCTGATCTCGGTGTGTTTGATCCCTTGTTGCAGGAGTGGTACGAGGAACACGCCAGGAAAGAAGAGACTCAGACACCGTCGCAAGAATCTGCACCTGCTTCCAACAATTTTCTGAAGCCCTCGAGCCTTCGGCAACGCTCCCAGACTGTCATTTAGGCCTAGCTAATGCAAGCCACCCTCTATGCAATAACCTAGAGTATTACTTCACAGCGTATATATTGGATGGTGTATATAGGTCTGTTCATCGTCCTGGTTGGCTTTAGGGTTTAAATCTCTTCTTCAAGGCAGTGAATTGTGGAGAAAAAAAAAAAAGAGGCCCGAGGGGCTCTGTGAGACTGCAGGAACCAGGCTGAACGAGATGGCTACGCTCAGCACAGAGGGAGCATCTCTGGCAGAACAGAGTCCTCTTCCCTCTGACCTGCTTCCCAGGCTCAGACCTGTTGCTTGTCTTACCACTAACAGACCCTGGGGGAAGAGATAGGTGATCCATTAACAGCAGGAAACGTGCCGAAGCCACCTGCTTAATAATGTTAAAACTTTTGCCCTTTTGAAGATGCAGTTTTTCGAAGGGTGTCATTAACTAGATGTAAAAGATCAGGGAAGGAGTATGTTTTGATTCTTTTCGCCCCCTCCTTGTGCGAAACAAGGGGAGGTGATGTGAAATTTCAGCACTTTCGGAAGAACAGTTGCTTTCCCCTCCTTTTCGACATGCCTAATGCACTCCTGCTGCAGTTCTAGCTCTGAGTATTGAATTTAGCTGCCCGTGAGCAGCTCTGTGGCAGCTGGAGCCACAACGCAGGGCCGGCAGCTCACGGCATCCAGACTACAGGTTGGAAAAGAGTTTGGGGAGACAAACTTTGTCTCTGCCGCTCGGTTCTTCCCGTGGCACTGCCCAGAACTGGGGTGACTGTGTAGTCCCCAAAGCCCTTGTCTCCCCTTGGCGAGACAGCTGCTTCCCAGGGGTGGCAGTGGTGTGAACCTCGGCCACTGGGCCACCTGCTTTGCAAATGACAGATTTCTGCCTGCTCCTTAGCTCAGAGGATGAGGAAGAGGGAAGGATGTTGCAGCTCCAAGTCTGACGTAGTCTGGCTCCGTCTGGGTTAAGAAGAGCTTATAGGCAGAGCGTCCATAAAACAGCACTGCTGGTTAATCCTCAGCCAAGTCTTGGCTTTATGCAGGTCCCAAAGCAGCAGTGTTGCTCCTCCCTTGTTCTCACCCTTGCGGAAAGGTTTCCCAGGCTGGCAAATCCTAGAGACAAAACCAGGAATTGATAGACAAATCCCAGGAAGTTCCTCTATTGAAGAGCTTTACTGCTCCCCTGGGTGGAGGAGCTTTTTTTTTGATGCCAGGAATGTGGATGCCGATGCCTCTTCCCATCCATCTTGTAACTAGCAAGGAGACTGCCTGACCTGGGAGAAAAGAAAAGAAAAAAGAGAAGAGAAAAGGAGTCCTACCCCAGCTCCACTGGAGTATTATTTTGTGACTGCATCGGTTGCTTCATCACTCGTGTTTCGTTGCCCACACAGAGCGGTGAGAATGACTGTTGCTGTCAGTTTTTTTTTTTTTTTTTTTTTCTGTCACCACAGAAGGTTTGAGGGTTAAAAGTATCTGTGTCAGCTGGAAGGTTTCCTTCCTCTTTTGCTTTTTAGTCTTCTCTTGGGTCCAGATTAAGAGCAGGACTAGCTGGAGAGACCTTCTCCTTCCTCCAGAGAGACGGGACACTGGAAGGTCCGTGTGGTTGTTCACTTTACCCCGTGCACCCACTTTCCTATTGGTCACCTCAACATGTGGCATGAGGAATGAGGGAGAGGACTTAAAATTGCTCCTTGATCCCACCTGGGAAAGCAAGGGAGCATTTCAAGGAAAGAATGAACAAGATTTCAAAAGTCTGCCAGATGGGGGTGATTCTGAAACTTCCCATTTAGAGAAGTGGGAGTGTTTGGGTGAACCGAGGGTGAGCAGCCGCCAAAGGGTGCTCCTCAGGGCAATGCGAAGGTTCTTGTCTGGGAGCCACAGGAGCTTTGGCAGGAAACTCCTTCTGAACTGAACCGTGAAGGACCTTCAAGGGCTGTTTTCTAAAACATCTGACCGCAAATGAATGCACAGAGCAGAGTGGTGCCACTCATGTGGTTGCTCTGCATGGGCTTGTAGCCTGGGGGATCTTTCCAGACTAGTCCTAGTGCTAGCGGAGATGTTTCTTCTGATTTGAGCTGGGGGCAGGATGAGCAAAGATTGTGAAGATTAGAAAAAAAAAATACTGTGTTTTCCAACTCCTCCTTCCCCTCCAGCCCATTTCGCACTGCAGGGCACTTGGTGACTTTTTCTGGTGTTTTCTTGGGGGGAAAGAGCTGCAGCTTTAGGCTGTATCTGGGGGCAGCGGGGAGGCACCAGCTGCTCAGCAGGCAACGAGGGAGCTGGAGCTGCGGCTTTGGGCTCAGCTGCTCCTTTCCGCGGTTGCTCGAGGAGGCGTCCCTGCCCTCGCGCACTGTACGCACTGTGTTAAGTATTTTTCTTAACACCAAGGAGGGTCACAGAAGTTTACTTCTTCCGCATGAAGGAAAAGAAGTTTTGAGTACGGGGCATCCCCTTCTATTTGTCCTCCTCTTCCCCACCTGGCACCCGGGCTAACCCCACGGACAATCATTTTGTAGGGAGCAAGGGAGGAAGCACGGCAGGGTTTTGTATGCTGGCGTTTTGTTCATAAAAACGATTTTATGGACGTGTCTGTAAAAAAATGTTCTCTGGATGATTTTTTTTTCAAGCATACTAATAAAAAGCATCCTCAGCTTGGTAAAGGCAGCGGCTTCTCCTCCTCGGGGCCGTGCGGGCGGCGGAAGCGGGACCTCGCAGTGTTGGAACTCGGCATGCAGCACCCAGAGCTGTGTCAAACCTCAGCGCTAAGATAGTGTCTTTAAGCTTGTGGCTTTTGAAGCTTCCTCTAGTGCTGCATCAAAGGGTGCAAAGGGGCTGGGGGCCTCTAAGGTAGTTTTGACACCGGCCTTGCGTGTGGCTGCTGTTTTGGCCTCGCTTTGGGTGAGGAAGGGGGTGTCACCTCTGGATAACGGCAGAAGCTGCTGGGAGCTTCTGAGCAGGTGCAGGGAGCTCTAATGGTTGTGGGGGGGGGAAAAGGAGAAACGATACAAGGACGGGAAGAGCAGGAGCTGCAAGAAGCCACTCGGCTGTTGGGCTCTTGCAAAACCACCTCAGGGGCCTCGAGGAGAGCGAGGCAGCCGGCCCTAAGGGCCCTCTGCTTTTCTAGCTGAGCCTGCACCCTGTTGCAAGCTGATTCCGCCCCTTGCTCGTGTCCCTGAGCTGATTCGGGAGCCCCAACGCGGCGCCGCGGCACCCAGCGCGCGCGGGAGCGAGAGGCACGGGCCCGCTGGCCACATGTGACCGTGCCTGGGGAAGGGCCCCAAGGAAGGAGCACGAGGAACCGCTTCCCCAAACCCCCATCCCGCGTGTGGAAGCTCCCCCGGCTCCCGCCCAGGGCCGCCGAGTCCCCGCCGTGAGCTCAGCCCCGTGCAGGGCCAGGCAGGACGCCCACCGCGAGTGGCACCCATGGCAAGCAAGGGGTAAACGGGGGACTTGGGGTTTTTTAATGGAATCTCTTTTTCAAACAGTATCTAAAACTAGCTCTGCCCTGAGGCCAGCAGTTCATTTGTGTAACCAAAGTGTACCAAGTTATTCGCTGCAGCTCTGTGTGCCCTAAAAGGAGAAGAAAAGTCAAGTTCAGCTTAAACGTAGCTTGGAAAGGCAGGAGAAAGGGAACTCCTTTTCCCCCCAGCTTAGTTGCATTTAAAGTGCTGCCCTGGCACTTTTCCGATGGATCCTTTGGTGTCCTCTGCCATGGGTGACAGCCCCCACCTTGCTCTGCGCCCTTCTCCGAGCTGTCCCGACGCCGTGCAGCCTCACACACTGTTCCTGCTCCCACGGAACCAAAGGCCGAGACAAGGCCAAGGCCGCACATGGTGCCTCAGGTCCTTCTCCCTTCCGTTCCTTGGCTTGCGCTGGAGCAGAGAGCCCGCAGGTCCGTCAGGACCAGGGCGCAGGGGCGGCCGCGGCCCCGTCACGCGGCGGCCGCGTGGATCACGCCGAACTCGGTGAGCAGGGCCACGGCGAGGAAGGCCGCGTAGTAGAGCAGGAGGCAGGCGCCGTAGGCCTTGCCCAGCTGGAAGCACTGCGCCGGCACCGCCACCAAGGAGAAGGCCAGGCTCAAGCCCAGCGCCCCGGCCAGGATCCACACCAGGAGGCCGTCGGGCTCCAGCTGTGGGGCAAGGGGATGGCAGTGAGCAGCGACCCAGCTGCCACCCTGCCCTGTCATCCCCCATCACAGCACCCAGCGGTGCGGGTGGCACCAGGGACACTCTTCCAGGGCTCTTTGGAAACACGGCGGGGAGAAACCCACAGGTTTCAGCCTGTGTCCCTGTGCCAGGGGCTGCTCCATGCGGGATGGGGTATGGATGTGGACAGCAGCCTCACCTTCACCACCATCTGGCTGGCGCTCATCTGCAGCAGGCAGCCCAGGCCCACGCCGACCAGGATGTCTGGGGGGAGCTCAGGAAGGACAAACGGTGCGGGAGAAGGAGCCACAGAGCCTGGACAGGGCTTGGGGAATGCTCCAGGATAGCTCCGCTCCAGGAACCCCTCAAAGCAGGTAGGGAAACTGAGGCAGCTCTGCCCCATGCCCCTCGCACACCCTCCCAGCCCAAAGGATACTGAAGATGATGCCGCCGAAGCAGGCGGAGAAGGCCATGCGGGGATAGCCCTGCCGTGCCATGGTCAGGTCCGAGAACGTGTCTGCATGGGGAGACATTAAGGGGAGACGTCCGGAGGTGCCACCAGGCTCTGGAGCGCAGCAGGGTCCCTGGTTGTCCCCTCACCGCCGATGCTGTTGCCCCAGGCCAGCAGCGTCAGGCCCAGCACAGTGTTGCTCAGCTGGAAGATGATACCCAGGGTCCGGAGGATGTTCACCAGCTCCGTGGCCGCCGCGTTGATCCACATGGCGCTGACCAGGAACCCCAGGAAGGCAAATACCTGTCGGGAAGGGAGTGAGCAGGTCCCTGCTCACTGGCACCCATGGACAGTCCCCAGCCCTGGGGACCACCTGGGTGCACAGTGAGGGGACCAGGACAGAGCACGGGGTATCCCTTACACAGTGGTACTTGGGGGGCTCCTCGTTGCTCGTGGTGCTGAAGACCAGAATGGCCACAACGGTGCCCACCAGCGCAACCAGCACCCACACGGGGAAGACGCCCTGGATCTGGTAGAGCCCGTCTGCATATGCAGGGAGAGAGCACAGCAGGGGCCACGGGTAAGAAACTGCAGTTTCACCTGGCAGCCTCATTTCTGCCACCTTTGGTGGCAGTTTTGGCCACGTCCCCTTCTCAGGTGAGGGCAAAGCATGGGGCACATGGCAGCCCAAGACAGAGGAGGATCTTACAGGTGCCCGACTTGAGGGTTAGGATGCAGAGCAGGGGGCCGGTGATCACGTGCAGGCAGTTGAGGGGCCTCTTCCAGTTGAGGTCCTCCTTGTCGGGGTCCACGACGGGCACCGTGAGCAGCAGCAGCAGCTCCACGGGGACCTGCAAGGAAGGTGCTGAGCGGGGCCGGTGCATGCCCTTGGGAGGGTCCATGCGCCTCTTGCTCACCTTGAGCACCTTGAAGAGCCGCCAGTACCAGGGCTTCCTCCTCCACTTGCGGTAGTCCCGATCCTCCTCTCCTGCGCGGGGCCGGGGAGCTGAGCGGCACCAGGGCACCTCGTCCCACCGCCCCTCGCGCCGGCCCGGGCAGCGCGGTGGCCATGGCCAGCGCCCGCACGGCCCCGGCGTCTCCCCGCTGCCTCTTACCCCACAGGGGACAGCTCTCAGTGGAGGTGGCGCCCAGGTTGGACGGCAACCTGGAGGTCGCCAGCGCCCTGATCCCCAGCCGCAGAGCTGGCCCTACTAGTGTCCCCAAGGTGCTTCCTACCGTAGTCGCTGCTGCCGCTGCCCATGGGCTCCTGCTCCTCAGTGTCCGTGAGCAGCTCTGGAGGGCGAGGAAAGCAGCAGTGAGCAGTGTCCCCCAGGTGCCCCCAGCGCCGTGGGGGCAATGTCCCCTACCTGGCTCCCAGGGCCGGGCCGGGGCCAGCCCGTCCCCGCGCTGCCGCCGGTGGATCCACGTGCAGAGCACCACGGTGAACACGTAGAAGATGTAGAGCCCCAGGTACCCTGCAAGGGAGGGAGGGATGGAGCCATCGCCGGCCGCTTTGGCCCCTTCCCCTGCCACCCCAGCCAGCGGGCCACTCACCCAGCGCCTCTCCCAGCCTGATCCTGCCCAAGTAGAGCACCATGAAGGTGAGGAAGACGGCCACCATGTAGAAGATGACGTCCCTGAGGAAGGGCCTGGAGGCAGCTGTGAAGGGCTTCACCAGGGCGATGCCCCCGGCCACCACCGTGGTCACAAACACGCCGGCACCTGCCAGTGCAGTGGAGGTCCCTCAGGGGAGGCCTCCTGCTGTGGTGGCCCCGCTGTCCCATGTCCCAGTCCCTGCCCTGGAGCAGGGCAGGGGGGCCCTACCGAAGACGGCGCCGATGGCCAGCCCTGCTGTGCGTGGGTCAGAGAAGGCCACCACGGCGCTGAAGACGTCGGGAGCCCCATTGCCGAACGCCAGGAAGGTGACACCATGGAGAGGGGGCGTCAAGGAAAAGGCCCTGCTGGCTGCTCTCCGTGGGATGAGCGGGGCACACGTGCGCTCCGCTCCCACCGGCCCCACAGGATCCTGTCGCAATGCCAGCATGGCACGACGTACGGGATCAGGGAACGGTTCAAGAGCTGAATGGAGACCTAATCCAAGCGCCCTGCTCGAGCAGCGTCACCTGCATTGTCCAGGGCGCCTTTTGAACCTCTCCAACGATGGAGACTCCATAACCTCCTCCTCCATCCTTTCCCTCTCGTCCCCTGCAGCGTTTCCTCTCAGCTCGGTGCAGAAGCAGCCCCAGCACAGCTGTCCCTGTCCCCGCCATCCCTCCTTCCGCAGGAGTGTCCCCATGCGTCCTGCCAAGGATACTGCCACGTTGTGAGACAGCTTCAGGTTGGTGGAGATGGCCGACAAGTTGGGGCAGAAGCTGGGCAGAGAAGGGGGCAAAGGGCAATTGCAGGAGCCATTCCAAGACCCCTGCTCTGCCCCACGCAGGCAGCAGGACCCCACCAGGCTACTCACAACTTCTCCGCTGTCACGCCAAGAATGACAAAGAGGTACAAGAGCCAGCAGGCCTGCGGGGACGGAGCAGGGTCAGCACCCGCAGCGCGGAGCGCCCGTGCGCGCCGCGGGGCTGCCTCTTACGTAGAGGGTGATGGCGAGGGGCAGCAGGCGCGCAGGGAAGGCGCAGAAGACGCCGTCGAGGTAGTCGAGGAAGCCGCCCTCCAGCTGGCAGTCGGGGTTGGTGCGGATGAAGCGGCACCACTCGGAGCTGTTGCGTCTCCGCACCTCCCAGCACTGCAGGAGGGCGCAGGAGTGGGTGCCTGTCCCTCACGGGTGGAACATCCTCCCCTGCCTCAGTTTCCCCCTTGGTCAGTGCTATCGTACACACAGCGTGAGCAGGATTGGCCTGCTGCGCCCATCACCGTGGCGTCAGACCCCGCGTGCCATGATAGTGCCAGGCCTCAAAGGAGGGGGCTGCGAGCGGGCAGGGGCCCAGCACCAACAGGGAGGGGGAGACAACAGGTCCAAAACGCTGCTCCACTCCCCAGACCAAGCTCTGGTGCTGTCTTATCCCCCCATCCCCGTCCCGCAGCACCCGGCTCAGCCCGGGCCACAGCCCCAGACCCTCCCGCTGTCCCCAGCTGGGAGCACCAGCCCCACAGCCGCTCCAGCCGTCCCGCGCTCGAGCCAGAGACGCCACCCGCTCGTCACACGTGTGAGTCACCGCGCGCAGGAAGAGGTTTCTCCCCATCCCGCAGCCGAGCACCCTCCATCCCCCCAGACGCCGGGAGGGATGAAACGAGTGCCCGTGCAGCTGAGCACTGTTATTTCATCACATCTCAGCCCCCTACCCCTTCAGCCAGTGCTCGAGCCAGAGACGCCACCCGCTCGTCACACGTGTGAGTCACCGCGCGCAGGAAGAGGTTTCTCCCCATCCCGCAGCCGAGCACCCTCCATCCCCCCAGACGCCGGGAGGGATGAAACGAGTGCCCGTGCAGCTGAGCACTGTTATTTCATCACATCTCAGCCCCCTACCCCTTCAGCCAGTCCTCCTCCCGCCCCCAGCGCTCCAATTCCCGGCGTTTTCCCGTTCCCTCCCGCGATCCCTCCCATTCCCCCCGC